AATACATAGGGCCGGTTCATCAATTAGGGGCTGTACACATTCTGGCACTTCGTTACACATCTTGGCGCAAATCATGCTTCCGTTCTCGGAAAGGCAGAACGTCTCGATGTCCGGAAGACAGACAGTCGGACCTGTAGATGCGTTGTACGCCACAGTTACCTTCGTGGCAGTGGGAGTCGGGATGGAAGTAACTTCGCAGCCCAGCTCGTCAGAGGCGTCCAGACAGTCGAGGTGGCCGTCGCAGATGGCAGTCATGTTGTGGCAGCTGCATGTGTCACAGAGAAATTGCTCGGCACTCGGACAGATGCAGGCTACACATAAGAGTGAAGGAATTGAGGCGATTCTGGTAAATAATTGTGTAGGAATTCAACTATACTACTGTTCCCTCTACCACTCAATGCATCCTCTAGCACTGCGCTGGATCTAGCCCATTAAGCATGGCATGACGACACTTCTACCGAATTTAAATTGAAGTCTCAGCTCTACTCATAGCATTAAGGGAAAATTCAACTACCAGTCCTTCATCACCTTCAACGAAATAGGGTAAATACATCTCATAATGTTCAATAACCAGCATTCAGATTGCCTAGGTTTTGATATAACCTGTTGATTTTGAATAAGAAGTGTATTCCTCCGAGTCGCATACTGTGACTAAAAAGCGAATGTTGAATTTCCTCACAATTGAATGATTAGACGTCGCGATACCAATGAAGTTCACTCACCCTTGCCTTCCAAAAGGTATTCCTATTCATTGTAGACTGCAGGAATCAAACCGAGCAAGCGTAGCAAATATTTTAAACATTTTAATATTATGTCACACTGTGACGGGTATCAGTGAGTAGCATGGTAGACCTGAATTTCCTGGCTAGCCAGGCTTATATCATACCACATCTTTGGATGGTATTTTTGGCTATCTTAATACTCTTATTTAACACCTAATGGTAATATTACTATAAGTAATATAATATATTTTGATACTAAATAATAATAATAATAATAATAAATAATAGATAATCCATTATAAAATATATAGTATAGGATTGGATAACCATAAAAATCACATCAATCCTGTTCACCAACTGACACACTTTTCTGTTTAGCATAATGGTCAAATTTGAAAACAAATACTGCTCTACTATCATTCGATTTCCACTGAGGGTGCTGATGAGCCCCAGACGGGATTGAAACAGCAGCTACTCTTGACACTACACTCTTTTGAAGAGTAAGACTAAAGGAAATTCAATTACATTGCACGAGTTATTCATTTATTGGTGCAAAACATTATTTCACTAACCCACATAGTAGATAACTTTACATTTTACAGCCATTTTTGTGTGATTTTCTTTTCTCTTCTCTCTTTTCATCTTTTCCTGTTCTGATACTCAAATAAGCGCCTTTTACTTGGGTGTGCTATTCTAGAAGAAATTTCTAATTTGGACACAGACTCAATGACCCCCCTAGATTATATTTTATAGCTTAGCATAAAGAGTCGGATCATAAAAGAGTAGCTAGGATTTTTTAAAATAAGGCCTATTAAGCAAACATGGGTGAATTAGAAGCTCTAAATGGCAGAATGAAGTGATCTTTATGGGATTCTAATGTTCGGGCAAATTAGTCGCATTCCCTTGGTTACATTGGCAGTCTATATTTCGTAGCTATGCTCCTATGCAAAATTGACTATATCGGATTTCAAAGATCAATTATGGGATGGAAATTTAATAGAGGGGGCTTGTAACGAAATCTCTGATACAAAAAGTATCAAGCTTGACAAGTGCTAATATCAAAATATTTTCTTACAGTCTTTACTAGAAAGTAAAATACCGAACTATAAAGACCTCTTTATACTACCGTTGAGCTAACTTCCATTTCGATGGAAAGTGTTTGGTGAAGAGATCCTAAGGTCGACTCCACCAGAAGACGATAGAGTACCTCTTGAACAGCTGTCAATTGGACTTAAGGGAACATTATTTGTTGAGGGTGTTGCCGAGGCAATCTCGTTTGATTCACGAGTTAGCCTCTTATGTGTGGGTCGACACGTCTCCCCGCATGGGCATTACCGCATTAGCACATCACTTTATAAAAATCTGATCCGCAGAGGGTAACTGAAGGTTCTCTTAAAGAAGGCACGACCGAGAAAAGCTTTAAAATCATTTCATACATGGTTCTGACGTTCCATTTCCACAGTGATTCACCCATCCTTATTGAAAGTTGACAGGATAGTGACACCAGGAACCTAGAAGAAGAGTTGTCTAATTGTCTGTATTATCCTCATTAATGGTTTGCTTTTTCCCTATTTCTTAATATTTATAAAGGATTAACAATTAATACCAACAAATAAAACTTTTTTTAGCCCTATTAACTCTTGATCTTGGTGTCTTGTGTCGGCTAAATATAAACTCCTTATCCTTATTGCCTTCTAATCCCTACCTTAACACCATAAGTATGATTCGAGAAGAAATTAAGAAGGAAATCCGTGTTTGTGGGCTTTCTACGTACATCTCTACCAAGTTTGTTCCAATTTCTAATATCTAGGACTTCAAAAAAGGTAATGTATTGTCCTTTTTTAACTCAATTGTGAATTCTTTCCTCTTATCACTAACCTAAGAAAGTCTTCTAGTCTTGCTTTGCCATGCTGCCAGATATAAAAGTAATCATCGATATATCTGACAAATAGTTTTGGGAAATTTTCAATAAAGAATTCTTTAGACTTTGTTAAGTTAATAGATGAACAAATAATAGAACAAAAGATTAACTTGTAAATTTTGATGTGGCATCAATGAACATAAATATATCGGCTTTAGGATCAACATTATATCGACACCCAAAGATAGGCAAGAAATCATCCATAAGATTGACTAACTTAATAATGGATGGTACATATTTTGCCTTTAATAGCAAATTATATAAGCAAACCAGAGGGTTAGCTATGGCTCCCATGGACTACATGGCTCATTTAGGAGTCCGGCTTTTTCAAGGAGAATTCCTATTTCCGAAATTATTTGTCATATATTCAGATGACTACTTTGCTATCTTGCCGCCTGGCATAACGATTTTGGAAGGCTTCCTCAGGTTAAT